TAAACCAATATAGGTAATCATTGTTCCGTTCAGAATCTAAAATATGATGTGCGACGACATATTATTCGTACATTTTTCTGTTTGATTCAAGTAACAGTAATTTTATCGTATCCATAATTTGGAAATAATCTTTTACATTGTAATCAAAAACATGTAATAAGTCGCCCATAAAAATAATCTCCTACTGAATAATTTTAAATTATGATAATTAAAAATGATCCCTAATAGTTAGCACATGTTATACCGTATATTAGTAACAATGACATTCTAATAATTTTTGTTTTTTAGAGACACATTGTACGTAAATATGGTGATAATTGACTGAGTTAATAGGTTCGTAGTTTTATTTGTGTGGAATTTTAAGTTTGTATCAATAAAAGGGCATAAACTTTAACCAAACGGTGCTAAATCCAATTTTGTTGGTAAATTTAGTTTACTGTAATTAGCAAGGCTGGGCAAGTTAATGATATTTCTTAACTCAGTTAAGTTAAGTTAAATTAAAATCTAAATCAAGTTAATAGTTAAAAGTTAATTCAAAATGTTCTATCAATTAAACTAAGTTAAGAGTTAACCAAAATGTAATATTAACTTTTTAACTCAAGTTAAGTTAAAAAAAGTTTTTTTGTTTTCATATAGGAAAAATTAAAATTTTCGTACCCAAAATTGTTCATGTTATTACACCAAAGAACTATTATTATTTTATGTGTCCAAAAAGCTAACAGTACTATACGGAAAATGTAGACTAATACCAGATTGTACAAACTCGAAAGTGGTCGCGTTAGTTTAACCTAACCGCGTCTTTATATTTTAGTCGAAGTCGAAGTATAGGCGAGTACAATACTGAGTAGCGTATTTATTTTTATACTCATACAGTGATTACTGAATACTGAATACTTATTAGTAGTTATTACTAATACACGATAATTAGCGGTAGGCCTGTATGGGTTGTTAGATTATCAATAAGACAAGAACACGAACCGCGATTAAAGATATTTTTCATTTTTTCATCGTGAGTCGTGACACGGACTAATTTTAATATTATAATAAAACCTGGAAATGACAGTATTAGTAGTTGTAACAGATATGTAATAATATGTATCGATATCGAATATGGAAACATGGTTTTACCACCACTAGTCACTAGGCGTCCTTGCGGGAATTCTAGATTTCGGTGAAATCGACGAAAACGTCGAACTAATAATAAATTATACAAAAATAAACAGGTATTACACTACTACCACATAACAGTCTAGTCCGTCTAGCGTTATCTTCTATATAGATATTAATTCTTATTAATACGTATAATATAATAATAATAATGTATAAAACAAATATAATATTACCAAAATAGTTTATAATAATTCATAGGAATATCTGTAGCTATAAGTTATAACCACCAACTGGCGACGATGGCAAAATAACAGGCATTGATAATATTCATAATTTCATAATATAGGTATTTCAATTTTACATGAATTAAAAAAATTCAAAACACATTACATAATAATTCAAATTAACTTAACTTGTTTAAATGTAAAATTAAGTTAATTAAAAGTTAATTTAAATGATCCTAAAGTTATTAATTAAGTTAATACACATAAAAAAAAATAACTTATTAAGTTAAAAAGTTAAATTAACTTAACTTTTTAACTTAATTTTAACTTATTAACGTGTTAATGCCCAGCCTTGGTAATTAGTATACAGAGTTATTGGTAAAATATAATTTAAAAGCAATATTAGGTTTCTTTTTCAGATGAGTTCAGAAAATTCTCTCACAGGCTTCTACGATTTATGAAGGCCCATTATTTAAATACCTTACTTTATTAATAATTCCTTAATTAGTTAATTATTCATTATGAAAACAATTTTCAAGTTTGTCATTTAAAAGTGATACTTATATAGGTTTCTCAATAGAACATTTTTGGTTATCAACAATATAGTATTTCAACCCAAAGGTTTTGTCTAAGTGATGAAATAAATAAATGATTTGACAATCATAAAAGTTTACGAAAGGGAATAATACAGTTTGGTGTTATGAATTGACCTCCTGAAATTATATATTTTAAATAGCATCAAATTAATTTAAAATAAGTGAATAACGATAATTTTATTGTATTAATACTAAACAGTACCTACTTCTTAGTACTTTAGGCTTAGTACTCTTTATTTTTGGGCCTTGAATTTCACACTTTTAAGCAAATTATATGGCTATTAATTAATATTTTATAATTTATTTTCCAGGTGAAGGTATGAATTAAATTTTTATTTTTTTATTTTATTGATCTTTATAATTTATTTTTGTTTGAGAAGTTCTTAGTAATAATTTGAAAGAGCAATATTTCCTTTCTTAGAATTGTTTTCTAATGAATTGGAAATTATAGAAAATGTTATGAAAAACATTTTTTATCTTGGACACACGTTAGTTTGGTATAAAAGCTAGTGTGTATAGGTGAGTGTGATCTTTCCCTGATATATAGGTAGGAGGTCAAATACAATGTGTGCATTAGCTATAATAATTATATCTTCCTAATTTCCTTAGTACATTTTTCTCTTTGATTTCTATAACGTTTTCAGTTTGTTTTGATAAATACAAACATTTTCCTAATCTTACCAGACTTAAAAAACGTTTTGAGTCTCCGTAATATTTTTTCTACATTTAAGCACAGTAGAGGGGGGAGGTAAGGATATTATAACTTATTATTTTATTTATTTGTAGAGCAATTGTAAAAGTTGTTGATTACAACGTAGTGTTTAATCAGTAAATAACTTGCTACACGGACACTTGTTGTCTCCGTCTTACATGTGCGTAACACACTAAATTGTACGATCAGCAGATCACGTTTAGCTCCGTAAGTTATGAATAGTTTAAAAAGTACAAAACTACAAACAATTTACAATCTTAAAGTACTCATAACTCGCTTTAAATTTAAAATATAATAAAAAGCAAATGAGATGTCTTACACAATAATCTTATCTTTAAATTGTATAAGAGCTCAATTTACTCTATTTTTTAAACTTACAGAGCTAAACGTGAACTTTTAAACTTAGAATGTGGTATGTAGAGAACTTGTAAGACGAAGATAAGAAAATATGTCCTTGTAGAGTATACCTACTAATAAACTAGCGTCCTGTAAAATTTCTAAGTTCATCTCTTTTTGAAATTGTTTCAAGTTTTTTGAGAACTTTTCAAATAAACCACGATATTCACTCATTTAATCGTTACATTTAACTATAATCTATATACATAACCTAACTACTGGGTATTTTCTTTCTAGATCTTAAAAAATATGAAGGTATAATTTTTTTGCATTTAAGTGATTGTTTTATTTTATATTATTTATAAGATTAATTTTAAATGTGCATGACTCCAATGTCTTTATTATAATACATTTAATTTAAGTACTAATATGCATTTTTTTTTGGAGTACCTATATTCAATTCTCAGTGTTCTTAAAAACTGTTAGCCTCTAATTACCTATTACATTTCAACAAATCTCGTGCCTGTAATATTTCTTGTGTAATCTACGATGTTACTGCAAAACAGTATTACCAATATTTAATAATTAATAACTACAATTTTCATTTTATTGCAGGTCGACCAAGTACGTTACCTATACATTTTATTTCGAAAGAGATGATTGTCTTTTTATCTTTTTTCTTAAAAAGTTTTCCATTAAAGAACGTATGGATATTCTAACAATATTTTTCTATTAATTCATTGTATACTAAACTAATCTCACCATACTCAAAATTTTTTACTCGCCCACTGAGTACCATAGTTGATATGAATCCGTTCAGTTAGATAGTGTCACTCATTAGTCATTATTGAGTATGACAACTACTATCATTGTCCAGATATACTAATTCACTTTCTATAAAATTACGACTTGAGTTCTAAAACTATAAAACCAGAAAACATTTTAAAATGCTTTATTAATATTTCAACCATTCTATGTTTCGACTGATTTCTAACAAGTCAATTTAACCAAACATTTTAAATTAATTTATATATTTATTTTATTTTTATTATTATGTAGCTAATTTTTAGGATATATCCATTTAATATCTTATCAGTGGCGTAATTACGGAGGGGGGGGGGGGTTTTGGGTGTCGTATCCCCCCCCCTCCCCCATGACGACCTTTTTTTTAAGACTGGTTACATTTTCCTATGTACTTCTTTTTTTTTTTTTTTGATATCATCATAACTATTATAATATATTGCACTGAAAGGTGCTTATAATAAATACTTTTTATTTTATTTTTTAGGTTGGGGGGTAAAATGTTAAAACATTTCATCCCCCCCCCTCCCCAAACATGACCAAATTACGCCACTGTATCTTATCACAATAGTTACTAATTAATATTATTATTATTTTAGTACAACTGCTGATCAGTACGTATATATTTAATTTGATTTAATTTTGTGTGAAATGTATTTATAACCATTGAGTTTTATTTTCCACGATGTCATTTCTTAAACTATGATTTCAATTATTTTATGGTTTTCTATTTTCTAATTTCTATTTGATCTATGATAGTACAACTTACTGTTAAAATGCAAAATTTGATTTGGTGCATCAAACAATGTCCTTTAAATTCAATCTAATGATATTTTAGCTTTACTCCATTTCATTAAAGAGTTATGAAGAGTTAACTGTCAACGTTTAAAAAAAAATTTTTAGTTTGTTGTTGAAGTATAGAAACACCCATTTTTTAAAATTAAAATGCTATTGATATCTGACTGCTACAAAAGTATACGCAATATGTCGTATAGTGATATAGGGAATTGTTCATTTGCAGAAGAACATTTTTTTTAATTCATTGAATACTTAACATTTTAACCTTTAGTGTTCCTTAATTGTCATAAGATATAGTTATACCAATAAAAGTAGAAAACTGTCAAAATTTATTTTATTTTTACAGAATTGATAAATTTGTACAAACAATTTTGCGAACGAAGTACATATATATATTTATAATTTGTGTGTATAAATTAATAATATAAAGTAACCATGTTTTAATATATGTAATTTAATGAAAAGGAATACTAAAATCCAAAATTTCTACACTTAAAATAATTACAATTAAATCGTTTTGCCTTGAAAAAAATTGCTTTTCATTATATACGTATAAAATCGTGTTCTACGAGTTAGTGGGAAAGTAATCTAATGCAAAAATCAAATCGAATACCAATTTATTTTGCAGATGAATATACTGGAGATATGGTCAGCCATTTCTGCGGTGATTTTGAGTTGATTGCCTTAACGAAAAAAAAGCCCCACAATTTGACGCTGTACAAAAAAAAAAAAATGTAATTCAGTTAATTTGTATTTTCAAAAATAATATATATTTTTCTCATGAAACTATTGTACATTTACTGAATATTTTAAAGAGTTTAAATGTGTTATTTCGTTTAAATATAGCAATAATTGATTAAGCTGTTATCATTTATCTCAAACGTGCACGGATATAATATAAGAATAATAAAATCTGTAAATGCATGCAACGCAGAGGGTAGCGGTGTTTTACGTGTAAGATAGAAAAAAATCATATCATTTCTGTGAGGGGTCGTTTGTCATGCTATGTCGTACATGTATAATAATATGTGTATTGTAATCTCAAATAGTTGTCCGATTAATGTCTGTGCGATAAGGTTGCATAGTCCAGGGATTCTCAAACTGTGGTACGCGTACCTATATGAAGGGTACTCGAAATGTTTTAAGGGGTAGTACGGGTCTGGCCGAAAAACCAACAAGGAGAAAATTCTTTAAAAGCCTTTAATTGTTTTTATATATATTTTAGTCTAGTAACTAAGAAGGGGGTGCTAGAAAAGAAATCCATCGAAAAAAAAAAGGGGTACAGTGTTTATAAGAGTTTGAGAATCCGTGGCTAGTCTATAAATTCTTATATTATTATCTATGCAAACGTGGATTAGTGTCATCAACTGTTTGGATACACTGCGAGTCTGTGACTTACAAGTTATAAGCTATTGAGTGTACGCGAAAACCAGCTGAAATTTGTAGTGCCATTTATTTCATCATCTTTCATTATAAATTGAATTCAATAAAACGTTATGAAACAACGTTCAAATATTGTTTTTTTTAATGTCTGATGTCTGATGTACCTATCCAATATTATACGATGCTCTGTCGCCTCTCGTATATAATGTAGAATCTTACAAGATACATTCAGTAGTTACCTCATGTGTAACGTTGCAGATACAATGTTACATCACATGGCTCATATCTCTGAAGGTTATGAGATGAATTATTGTTGAGATGAATAATGCTTATTGTTTTATCCAAAAAGATTCGTAAGCTTGGGTTCTGAAATAACGCATAAAAATATTAAATATTGAAGGTACTATTATTATTTTAGTATTTCTGTTTTGCCGTCGCCAATTACTTATCGATTGTTTGTTATTATAATAGGTATGAATTTACATTTCTACTGATCATTATACAATTCATTTAGGAATAAATAAAACAATGAAATTTATATTGAATTCTTATTAGTTATTAGGTAGCTTTATATAGAAGTCAAATAAATATTTTGTCTCAAAGTTTGAGGCTTTTGAAATCTGAATTTTCAGATTCCTTCGGATAAAGAAGATTACGAAACAAAACATCAGGATGAATTATCTTTTTATAAAAAATCGAATGTACCAGTGACTGTTGACATTGTTTCCACGGATATTTTTAAATAGATTAACCCTTGTCAAATGACTCGCAATGGAGTTAACAGATGTTTTGGATGCTCTGATCACTGAAGGTCTGGACGATGTGAGTACCTAGTACAACTGTAAAATACGTGGTAAAGATAAACAAATAACATTTTATAACACCTATACATAATATGCAATTAAAAATAAGTCAGAATTTCAAAATATTTATAAGTTTCTCAAAAGATCTAAAATATTTGTATAATTTTATTTTATAATAAAAAAGCTAATATTCAAGTTTTTAAAATGTTTAATTTTGAAGACTTTTTTGATTTATTGCTCTGCTCAGAATCCAATGATATAATATAATATGTAGTGTTTAACAACCAATACAAATCATAGTTACACAAATTAAATAAATAATAATATTCAACAAAAAATAATCAATTGTTGTTTCTTAAGTCAGCCGCTAAGTTAGTCTTATAATAAATTACAAACAATTAATGTTTGTTTTACCCTTTTGATATTTTCGAAAATAGTAAAATTCAAAATAATCGTGATGGTAATCACCTCACCAGCTGTATTGTGTACATCAAGTTTTTAAAAATCTGCAGCAACTCTAAAAACAATAACTACCTTTCAATAAATAAAACATGAACGAAATTAAAAAATGTTGATTATAATACTGATATTGTGTCAAACCCACACGTACAACTACAGAACCCCTCATACTAAAATTATGTAAATATTTGCCAAACCGATTCTCAGGCCACAAAATCAATAGACAATTTTCGAATAGAATAGTTTTTCGAACGAAATAGTTTATTATTGGATTCAAATTAAACCCATCCATTACAGAGAAGTATAATATCCAATTGACTAGATTCATTTTGCAGTCGACGCAAACTGTACTGTAGAGAGGTTACAATGTTACATACTTATCTATCTTTCATTATTAAAGTTTTTCACTGTGTTATCTTGGTACCTTATCTTATACTAACATAAACATTTAATTTGATTTATAATTAATATAATTTGAATACAATTTGGCGAATACTGAGCGTCGGCGAGCTGTGATATCACCAAGTACCTATAATGAGAAAGGCTAACGGTGAATTACATGGCGCTACCTTGTGGTCAGGTCGCATTATAATAATGTTTGTTCCCATTTGGCCGAATTCCATTTTTAGCAGAATACAGAATGTAGAGCAAATTTAAAATGCTCATAACTCACTAGCAAATTGAATCATCGTAAAAAACCACTTAAATACAAACACCAATAATTGTGACCATTAAGTCTCATAATATTCCTTGATTAATTTCAATTTTTAAACTAGTGAATCTAAACGTCATAATATGCTGAGCGTAAATTTGATGTTTTATGCATGTTTAAGATGAAGACAACAAAACATATGCTCGTTTAGTGTCATCACTCATCTTAAAAATAATTAAACATACCAAATTAGTAATTTTAGTTATACCCAATGGCTAATGTTATTTGTAAAAAAATAATATGTCATTTTGTATATATTTTAAAGATCACAATTAATGGCGGTTAGTAATATTTGGAATCTGTATTTTTTTTTTAATGTTTTCCGTGAACAAGTGTTATTGAATTCAACTACAGATCTCCGCTACTGTCTACTACACAGGAAAACCAAATGTGATGCGATTTTGAATAATTTAAAATCTTGTGTTTATTTCTGTATAAATATACTCTAATATTACTAGTATTAGTAAACTATGGCTGTAGACTGTAGTGGTTTCAAAGTCTAATCATCGAACTGATGTGCTTTCGTATATGTTGATTTAAGTTCACTATCTATATTGTCAGCCAGACATGTGAACGGACAACAGTTTTCGGCTAGAATAAAGTGTGGTATTATTCACGATATTTTGTTAGTATAATTACTATTTCAATAATATTATCTTACCTAAATTACTGTCCGCCATGAGATGGCCAACTGTGTCACCACAATTATCCGTGTACTTGTACTCACCAGGTTCCTTGAAACTGCGTAAAGATTGATGTAAATAATAATATAATAATATTTTATAAATATCATTATAGATTATAGGTATTCTCCGCCAAAGATAATTTTCGTACCCAGTGATTATTTTAATATTAAGTATTCATTAGGTAACACGAAAAGTACCTATACACTTTGTAAGATCTAATTTTGAAAATTTTGTATCTTCAATTAATGGTTTTATAAGAATTTTGATGCATAAACATTTTGAATTTTGAACGAGTTCCTACATAATTACTAACTTAGGTATATAATGACAGATGACTCACATAAATACTTTAAGGTTTAGATAAGTAGATTTACGAGGCACACGAGTGATGAGTACTTTACCGATGTTCGTCTACTATAGAGCTAATTTGAACTTAAGATACTTATACACAACGGAGTATCCAAAAAGCATTACATTTTTAATGTTATGAAACTGATTATTTTTCTCACATTATGATGTTTTATTGCATTGCAGTAATTTTTATGCATAGGTACTAATGAGTTAATAAATTATTAAAAAACTGTAAGTACCTGTATTTATAGACCGTACAGTATTCCATAGCGTCTTTTGGTTTGCAGTAGTCTAATTTTTCAGCCCACGGAGTTCGTATTTTTTTCTGTTGTCCTATTAACTTGTAGCTCGACCTGTGGGTTGTGTTTAGGTCCATTTTTTCCACGGGAGGTCTATAACTATACAATTTATAATTGTTAATTTATATGAATAAGAATATTTACACAACATAAGTTTTCGTTTACACCCTGCAGTTAGGTCCTTAGGATTTGCAACGGCCAGGACAAAAGTAATAATTCTGATGTCAGGTGTGAAATTAATTGAAAATAACCCGTACACAATTTCCCAAATACCAACTTCAAGTGTCTTTAAAATAATTACTAATTTTACTACTCGTATTGATTTAAAATTTACGAACTGTAGAAGCAGAAAAAAATATTGTGTATAATAATATAGCAAATCTTTGAATATTGGTGATTACACTACAAAAATGCCAGTGGTTGTCATTGACGGTACCATAATATCAGCTGATGTTTCCTAGAAAGGAATGAACGTTACAAGAGGTGGGAAGTTTTAAAAAGTCCTCCCCCCCTGATTTTCACTAATGTGCGAATCTTCGTGCGACACTGCATTACTCGCCTGAATTCTACTTCCCATCTCACCATGATAAACACTCAATGGTGTAATTTGGGGAGGGGAGGGGGTTAAGTATCCCCTCTTTGGTTTCAAAAGTTGTCCAACTATTGCGTCAGTTGTTGGTGAAACAACACTAATTTTTATATACACTAGAAATCTATTGTCACGATAATAATGAATATAGGTACTCATAGTTTTCAGTTAAAATAAAATATAGTTGCTGATCCTATAGAAATTCTAAAATGAGTACAATCCCTCAATTTATCCATGGTTTTGAAAAAAAAACCCTTATAGTAAATGGCGCCAATGGCATGGACCAGTTGCGCCTATCACAAAATTGGTATTGGTAAAAGGGTCAGTATACCAATATTGCACTGTATATACTTAAGGTAAGTAAATTTATATTTTTTATACTATACATTTAATAAATGTTATTGGTGTTATTGGGTGATGATAAAAATATTGAAGAATAATTCAATTTTGTTAAATCTGAAAAAAATCTATTTATATATATATTATTATGAATAGGATTTATTTAATTGTAATTATATAATAGTTGTGTATAATATATTAGACTATATATGCATGATTGATGTTTATGTTCATTGTGTTAAGATAAAAACATTATTACATGTGCTATTGAATAAAATTAATTTTACCCTGAAAATAATGAGCTCAATTAGTCTATTGACCCGGAAAATACCGAGCGCAATTCGTATGTGAAAAGATCGTTTTAAGCCCAATTGGCAAACTCCCGGTTGGCTTTTTTAATTATGTTTTAGCAGTCCTGTTGTAATTTCGCTTGTTCGTCCTCTCTAGAAAAAGTATTATGACTCCGCTGAGGTAGGTATCTACCATAGTATTATTTAGCTCGTCCTTGTATTTTTTTTCTCTGAAATAAGGCTATTTATGCGTCTCACACTGGAGTTGCCATACGTCCCTGTTTTGCCAGGACACTACCGGTTTTTAACCAAGTGTACCGGTGTCCCGAGAAAGTGTTTCGGGACAGCGATTTATCAAGGTTTCAAGATTTTACTAGATAAAATACCGATTTTAAATTATGAGAAATCATTGTCTTCCTACACATTACAAAATGCAAGGATATACTCGCGATAATTGTAAGTATTTTATTCATCTTGTGAAGAATTCTATGACCAAATTTTGGGAAACAAGTCTTTATTAAAACAAGTTCATGGATCAGCCAAATATGTAGTAAAATCAACAGAAAAAAACCGGGACTTGGAAAGTTCCGAAGACTAAGAATATTAATTATTATTAATATCATTATTATATTGCTTGTATACATAATTCATTCAAAACAATTTATATACCTATATATATATATATTATATATGTATATATATAAAAGTGAATATTATTTTATTATAAATATCAAAATGTCCCGGGTTTGAAAAAATATAATCTGGTAACCCTATCTCACACGTCATGTAAGATTACTATAATCGTATCGAGATAAAAATGGAAATGGAAATGAGCTTATGAGCGAAGCGATCTGCTTTTTTTTTGTCCGGTCTTACGGGCTGGTCAAAACTTTTGCCCCAAAACCGAAATGAAGGCACTCTATACACTGCGGAGGAGCTCACCATTTGTGGGGTTTGAAATCGTTCTCCCGCTTCACACACACAGGCTGATACGAACAATAGCTGGTGGTGAGCTTCGCCATCGGACAGTCAGAATCGACCACCAGGCTGTCGGGATGCACGAATTTCTTGGCACGTCCAAAGCCGTTGTCGGCGCACGGCACGTAATAGTCGTGTTGCTGGGTGGTCGTCAACCGCATCGGTCCCTCCAACCCCAGACAACTGTCTTTGGGCACGATTTTCTGTACTGTTGATATGCATTGTACCGGATAACTCATCTGCGACACAGTGTATTATATTATTGAAGATTTTTGAGAGCCGAGCATATTATATTATTACACGTCACAATAATGTATTATATCTTATATTTGTTTATTGTATGTTATTGTCAGTATAGGGAGGGGGGAGAGTGTCGCAATTCAAATAATAGTTGTTTGACTCGATGATCTGCTGCAGATCGGTTGAGTGCACGGGAGGGGGGGGAGAGGTTAGGGTTTACGTCCCGTAAATCCTCTTTTTGTGACTTTGGCACAGCAATTCATTTAAATGCATTACTTCTTGCAGGGTTGGGGTTTTTATAGAATTTTTATAAAATAATATAATATGTATGTTTTAAAATTTGTTTCACAATTCAGACAACTAAAATTAAAAATGTTTCCTTGCACAGTTTGAGGTCTTTTAGATTCTAGTTCTCTCTTTGAACATTTAGCTCCGGTCTCCCCTCATAAAATACGATGAATTTGTAAGTGTTGGAACAGAATCAGGATAATACTATGACTTGGGCCCGGATTTTTTGCAAAAATTATTGTTAAATAAACACGTATTTATGCAGTCGAAAATTAAAAAATATGCAAAAAAAATGTACTGTGTGTCCAGAAAAACCAAACATTTATAAAAAAATTAAAAGTATAGTATTAATTGAAAAAAAATATAATTCAAATATCACCATTTAAAATGTTTATATAGCATAAAAATGTGAATTAATTATTGAATGAGTACCAACATGATGTAACAAAATATTATTTTAAATTACCAAATAGAAAACTTCTACGATTTTCACATAGCACCACCGTAAATTTCGAAAAACGTCTTTCCGCGTCTGCTGAACAATGGGTGCTTATTTAAAACAAGAAATATTTTCTGGTGACTAAACAATTTTATACTTTTTCCAAGATTAACACCTGATTTTTCTAGACACGTGATGGAGTTTATTATGACGTACTTATGCTTTGAAAATTTGATAGAATTATCGAAAGTTCATTTTTTATCGAGTTATCATTAAATAATTGTTGTGCATTTTGAATAGACTTTGCATCATTTGAGTTAAACGTGTCCGACAACTTAAAATATTTTGATTTATTCGGTCGAAATATACTTGTCAGGAATGTCGGAAATCGGCGTGTACATCAAACTTTGAGTAAAATTTAAAACTGCTTGAAGTATAAATATCGTTTTTTATGAATTCATTACAAAATTAAAATCTCAAATCAATGCAATTATTATTGTATATGAATCATCAAATATGGAATAAAACTATGCAATATTATAAAAACCAAGAAATATGTCTTTTAAATTTAATACCTTCTCTAAACATGCAAAAATATAAACTAAACACTTGATAGTATCTCATTTGTCATGTTTTTTATATTATTTTTCATGAATTAAATTTGAAACTTATCTCGTAAATAGTTATAATACATAAGTCTCAAATAATAAAAGTGGATAGCACGATAATTCAACAGGGTTTTAGTCATAGATATGAAATAAAATAAAATCATTTGACTTAAAAATAACCACACTTCACTTACTCTTTGAGACGTTTTGTCTTGGAATTTTCCAGCCATGACCAAGTGGTCCTTCTGCATGATGGGTTTTTGACGATTTTCACATACGTCGTGTTCGTAGTACGAATGAGTGTATACGGTGTCGTCAGCGAACGGCGTTTTAGACACAGTCGATTGCTATAATACATAGGTAGGTTAGGTTATTATTGTTTGGTATTTAATTACCAATTAGTTGAGTATAAACTTATAATAAATTAACGACAAAACTGAGGGTGGTTTTGGTACCTACCTATTTGAACCAGAAACCATTTGGATATGCGTTAGGTTATGATTGATAATGCAATAAAGTTAAATATTTAAAATATAATTCTCAAGGTTACGTTACTTACCTGAGACCAGAGAGTATAAAAATATAAAACTACCAAAAAACATGTGTATTTAAAATTAATTGATTACAGGTAAAATTAAAATAATAAATTATCCTAACATGAATGGATTATAAATAACACACATTAATATACTATGGTAGGTGCCTACTTTTTAAGACATAATTTATCAAACAATATTAAATCCTATTCATGGTAGATTGTTGCACTTCAATGCACAAACGCCATAAACGACACTGAGACGTAAATAGTATACGATACATTTAAAGTTGAAGTTCATATTGTTCAAAACGCTGAAGGTGCCAAGGTGAGAAAAAATTTAAAAGACAAGACTCGAGAACTTACAACCATCCTTCCTATATACTTATTTATGCAATATATAATATAATATAACACATTTGTATGACGTGCCTTGTCCAATTAACGTAATATTATATAATTGAAAACAAAATAAATTTGCGACGTTTCCAATTTATAGTACCTGTTTTGAAAGTAATTTTAAACGTCTTTTTTTTTTTTATTATTATTAAAAGACATTCCTAAGCCTAAATAGGCTATCTACATCTATGGATAATTAGTAATATAAATTGTTGAGTATTTTAACATGATAATAATTATGAGTAATAATAATAGCCGGTGTACTTACCGAGGTCGGTTTGCACAACGGCCGCCGACATGGCTGCACGTACTTGAATCGATTCTGAAATCAATAAAAATATATAATACAATATAATTAAATGATCAATCCAAGTTGAACATTTTTTATTGTACAACAGTAGTATAATTTTACATACTCAACCAAATTTTATTTTTAAGATCAGTATCTATAATACTTATACTTATATTATACCTACTCAGGCAGGCAATTTTATAGGGGGAGGGGGGGGTCTTACAAACATTTCTACTCTCCTAAAAGTAAGCAATTGCAACTCATTTTCAATAATATTTTTTTTCTATAAATCTAAAAATAATTTCAGATTGACCCAAAACTTATCATATAGGTACAAAATATGTTCGTGTATCTTTAACTTAAAAATCAAATTTGAATAAAAACATTATCATTCATCATCAAAGTGTATTTGTGAAAAATAATACGCTACAGTAATTATTAACATTTTTTTTTTAAATTGTTTTTTCCACAATTTTAACATTTTTATTCAATTTTTTTTTTGTACTTTACCTAATGTTGCTAAGATCACAATATGATTTTGAAAATTAACTAAGAATGTATGTACTTTTATTATAAATCATCCAAAGATGAACTGTACTTATAAATGAATTAATTTGGGTGGTCTTTTGAATGTTTTTGTTACCTTTAAAGTTTGACAAGTCTTAACCCTTTGAAATTCACAATTTTTTTTTTCAACTTTCTGTAAACAGGCTTTAGGAATGGTGTTTGGCACTTTCGAACACTAAAAAGAAGGGTAGTTATATTAATCTATAAACAATCAAACAAATGTATAATGTGGATCTGTATTATATTGAAATATTAATGTATTTTCATACATCATAAGATCTTTGTAGACATTCTTTTACTTGAGACATTGCAGTGTTTGATGTATGATTTGGACACTTAAAAAAGTGCTACTTAAATTTAAAGATTGTTAAAAACATTAATTTTATAGAAAAATTAATTAAATTTAATATTTTATGGTTTTTTGTATGGTTGCTTAGTATAAGCTATACTCATTTTGGAACTGTAAATATTTTGCATTTATTATTAGCCAACTACTAACTGTAAACTAAATGTTGATAATTTGAATTTCAGATAATATATTTAATGGCAGATATATTTTGGTTGAATGTGTGAAGAAATTGACATTTTTTTACCAATTATAAAAAATTAAGTATGTTTCACCCTTAAACTAACTGTCAAAATGTTGCCCCAAACATATACGTATCTATGTAGGCAGTGGCATATACAGAGTGATTTTTTAAGCATGCTCACCCTATTTTTACGATTAATTTATGCAAATATTAAAATTTTGGAATTTTTAAATACACTTGAAACCCGATTTTTTCGAGTCTTTGAGATTTTTTGTACCTTGAATCTGTGACAATTCAAACTTCTGTTTTTAAAATAGGAACTCTACTTCTTCATTATTACTTATTCAGCAGATATTTTTTATAGGAATTTCTATACATCCAAATTAAAATTGTTATTACAAATTGAAAGTTTTTGAGTTACATAACTTTGCGTTCTAAATATTATGGTGTCAAGAGGACGTTGCACTCGCATGTTTTGTCTCCGCCTCACACACATACCACATACGACATTTTCGTTCACCAGTTTCAATAGTGTGCTGTTAGTTTTGGTATTGGAGTGAATTGACCTAATATACTGTAACGATGGTTACATCGTCACTTATACTTTGTCACCTATATATGTATAGCCTACATATATACATGTACATATATATTATTATATACCTTATAAACATAATATATAGAATATGCTGACTATATATATTGAGCCCCTCCTGTTATGATACCATTGTAAGGCTACGGCCAAATGCGAATATTATGTAAGGGTACGGCAGTTCTCCGTTCTGCGAGACACCGTCATGTGAATAGGAACTCCGGGCTGCCAATAAATTAGTTGTAAGTAAATTAAATGTAATTAAATTATATTTTAATAACAGTTTAAATCAATCTGTATTCATTTGTAACTATAAGATCCCAACATTCCTGCCCCCAAGCTACGGATAAATATATTCAAAGGATACACAACTCCTCCCTGAATATCTTATATTTAACTGGTCTTCCCCGACCACGTTACAATACAATTTAAAGGTAAAAGTAATATCTATCGCCCCAGGTAAGTTTTTATTGGTATTATTTTTTTAAAACTAATTTATGAACTTTCTGAGACTGGAAACACATGCGTGTGTATAATTTAAAAAAGTTAGAAATTAGTGTGGATCTACCAATAAAAATAGTTTCTAAAAACGATACAAGTATAATAAATATTTTATGCAACGTGTGGTTTATATTTTTATAAAACCATTTTTAAGGATTATTACCTTTAAATATTTTAACAACTCAGAAATTAGTCGTTTGAATTTTGATTTAGATACATATAATTTACCAAGAAAATCACCAGCTAAATAATTTGCAGTAAAATGGGAGTGGGGGGGGGGGGGGTTTCATTCGAAAAATAAAAATGTCTATCTTCAGTTACATTTTATGAAACGCACTGTTCTTTTGAACATCGTCTTATAACAACTTAACATACATGGCAATTTCATGTCTCGATACAAGCAAAGTTCCCAATATCAATATAATAATATATGATCAACTGTAGTAGACATGTTTTTTTTTATATGTGTTTTTTAGCGATCCCGCTTACAGATTTTATATGACTTATAAGATGATGGAAAACAAGGTGTAAATAATTCAAATCAATGTGTTAATAATGTAAACATGGATTTTATAGCGAACGTAAAACTGTTTAAATATTTTCTGATGCAGTTGAATATTTTCAGAGAGTCAGCTGGCGTAAATGTGCTTGTACTCACTCTAACAGTTCACGCCTGAATATCCGATGCCAGGGTATTGATGAAGTACGATGAAGGGTACTCCTTCCCTACTGACAAAATAGAGTTGAGCCTTTACTATCGCATGTGTTCAAGATCCAGGAAATGATATCGACCCACGGATCGTATGGTCGAATTGCGACATCTCGTGTCGCTTTGTTATCGACATTTAAGTGCGTAGTTTCTACTGTTATAATATTTGAATAACCTTAACTATTATAACACTGCCTTTTTAACTTGATCAATATTTGATTAATTGTCATACAGCAGTTGTCTTATACGAGCGTTTCTATTATCGATTATGATTTAGCATTTTCTATTCGTATGTATTTTGCAACGAAATTTCCCTTGTCCTATTCTCAGAACAATGTCATCTATTTTGTTGTTGGCCTAGCCTTTCCAGAGTTTAATAACATTTGGCATTCTTGTAAGGCATAATTCAATGATTTGATAATTCGTATGTGGCGTTTCTATGGCTATCTCAAGAATTATACGTATATTGGCGGGGCGTCAGTACACAGCAGTTTCTACTCAAATTAAGTTTCAAAGATAGACACAACAAAAAAATGTAACACAATGTCTATATTGTTTAAAACATTCAAAAATTTTTATTTTTCTTATAAAACATAAAATAAAAAATCACATTAAAAAGCAATATTTATCTTCAATATTACCTCTGGTAAACATCTATAATTATTTTACACATATAATATTATCAAATACATTAACAGCTAGCGTTTTTTTTAGACCATACAGTTGTTTTTACATATAGGTATTTGAAAAAAAAGAACAAAATTTGTTTCGTACAAAATATTACTTTCAGAAGTTGGAATTTTCCATGGTTAGAGGAACATGTTTTCATTAAATTTGTTTAAAAAGAACTTGTGGGTCCAGGTACAAAGTAAGAGTGCTTTAAATTGTCAAAAATCATAATAATAAAAAAAAAATCACAATGATTGTCCGCAAATACAAAAAAAACATATGAAAAAATTATGACAATTTTATCAAATACTTGTTAATAACTTATTATTACATGAAAATATAATACTGATTCTTTGAGATTAAATTTTTTAAATTAAATTTATCAAATAACTATTATTTAAATTTCTTTTCCAATGATTAACATAATTTTATTTTCATACACTCATGCGGTAAAGAAAAACAAAACAATAAGTATAAAAATAAACAAATACACAAATACATAGATACATTTTAAACAAACAACTGCTTTTCAGACTGAAATTAATTAATGTATAACAAGACTTATTTTAATGATCTATTGAATTGTTAATGTGATATTTTAGTAGTTATTGTTATTTCAAACGAACAGATGTTGTTTTTTAAGTAGGTAGGTACTTAAACTATGTTAACACATAAATCGATTAGAAATTACATCTAAAAAAATCATTTTTCAACCAAAAACCAAGACAATTAGTCATAATCATAATGATAACAAAATGTGAATATCAATATTTGATCATTATTGTAATTAAAATAACGTCATAGAAGTTTAATAATTAATATGGTCTTAATTTTACACGATCACTTAATTTTATAATAATATTATAAATTATAATCATACTATGACCTACTAAATACATCACAGCACGATTTTTTTTACAAATTGTTTTCGTTAGAAACGATTCAAAATAAAAATTTAAGAGAAAAATATATCTTACGATTTACTAAGTAACTTTTGCTCTCAGTTTAAATGTATAGAAGCATATTTTATAGATGAAGTACTGTCATTGAGTAGTAGCACCAAATGAGATTACTAGTTTAAGTATGGGACAACTGTCTATACGAGCGTCAAATCTGTGACTTTAAAAATGTGCAGTTATGTCACATTGTTGTCTTATTTGAAATGGTGTCTTAGAGACATTATTAGGTCGTAATAAAAAATCCAGTTAAGTACTAACATGAAAACGGTGAGTTATGACTAGGTATGTAACTTAAAAAAAATATATATACTTTTTTAAACAATTAATATTTTATCATTCATGACAGCGATAGCGTAGACGGCTTGGTATCCGACTTCAAATTCGTGTCTGGACGAGTTGTGTCTTTTTCTGTTTTTCGGATTTCCTTAGAATCCGGGCGACTCTCCTATTAATAACAATGTAATGAAAATTGATTTAAACGTATTAGCATATGTGTTATATTATAATACTGTACACTATACGACTTACATTGAGCTGATCGGGAGTCTGTTTTGCCTGCAAGCGGTTTTGCACAATTTTCAAATGCTTGACAATGTAGTCTTCATGCGGTGCCATCAGATGGGCCTTTTGTAAGCAAATTTCTGCCTCTTTCAATAAGCCACGTTCTACGTACACCACGCATAGATTGTGCATCCCTTGCGTATTGTCTGGATCCAGTTGCAGTATCCTTTGGTAACACTGGAAAGGTGGAAAAACGAGGTTTAAAAAAGTCAGTTTTTTGAGGTTGGAGGGGTTCAGCAGTGAAAAAACTCACGTTTTCAGCTGCATCAAGATCTTTGATGTTGTTGATATAGATGTCGCCCAATAATATCAGGGCCTTGACATGGTCTGGATGGAACCGGACCAGCTGATTGAGGAACGGGGCTGCCTGCAACGGTCTGTGGTCGTCAGCCAGCAGTAAGGCCAGGTTGAACAGAGCGGCCCTGAAATCCTCTTTAATGAGGATCGCCTGACGGAACCAATGTTCCGCCGCCGGTACGTCTCCTTCGTCCATAGCCAGCATGCCTAGGTTGAAAAACACCCGTTCGTTCTTTTGACCCTAAAATAACAAAAAATAAAAATATTACAAATGCACCACCACTTGTTGATTTCTACAACGCGTACGTTCGACAGGAGCCGGAGAAGTCTCTTCTCAGCAAGTTTTCTCAGGTTTGCCTGCCCCAATTCTTGGAGCAGTATGGCTGAGTTGAGTAACGCCTGTTCGTGGTCTGGATCAAATTCTAGAGCTTTGTCTAAGTAAGCCAATGCCTGTGAATGTTTACCCTGTTCCAAAAGCACAACACCCAGCTGAAAAGTGAAAAAGAATAAGGTTAGAAACTACGTTTTGTAAAAAGTTTTGTTTACACTAGTCTATGATACTCACATTGTAATAAATGTCTGGGTTGTCGGTGTCGTAGAATAAAGCTCGTTCGTACACTTCTTGCGCCTCTTTTGTTCGGTTGAGCTTGAGCAAAACGTCTCCACGATTTATGTACGCTTGCGTGTAATCAGATCGCATGCTGATGGCCTGCCGGTACAGCATATCCGCCTCTTCCAGACGCGTCTGGTTTTTAGCAATCAGATTGGCCAAGTTCAGTAAGACGTTTAGATGATTGGGAGCTATTCGGGCTTGGTACGACTCGCCCGGTTTGGCTTTAGGAAGCAATGATTTGGCCTGTGAATGCGCAATCGCAAATATTAGTCATGAAAGTCATTTTAAATATTGAACTCTCTGCTGCAGTTACGTTACTTACCTCTAAATAAGCGTCTTCGGCTTCCTTGTACATTTTTAAATGGTTATACGTACGGCCGACATTTATGTGAGCCCCGATATCATCGTGTTGTACGCTGAAAGAAAGAAGAAAAAAAAATTATAAACCACGTTTTAACGATAAAAAACAACTTGTTCGTGATTCTCATCTTTTATTTGAACCTTCGACACCCTTAGGTATTTTTTAAAAATCACGAATAACCCATAAAATAATTGTGAAAAAATAAAAAAATAATAATGTGACAAAATGTAATATTTTCATAATTGACATAATCATAACATATTTACAGGTGTAGAATATATTATGTCATTAAATAACGATATTACATAAATATTGATCACATAATATTAAATACACGATGTTGAGAATTGTAATTATAATCCAGAGCTTTCCAGCAATATTTACATACATTTTATCAACACGAATTCAAAATTAATTTATAAGAAAATGAAATACTGCAATAGAAAAATAGTAGAGATATAAAAAAAAAAAATAGTTTAAAGATAAACATTGCAACATACGGTTCACACATGATTTATTTATAACACTATATGCCGTGACAAATGTCGGTAATTTGAATTTTTTTTATTAATTTTTTAATTAATAAAAACAAACTAAACGGTTTATATATTTTTAAAACAATATTGTAGCACGCCGAGGTTAAGTTGATTTACTCTATGGACATTTGAAACTCACCTGACAGCCTTGTGAAAGTACGCAAGAGCTTCTTGGAATCGATTCTCAGCTTCCAAGGCGTGTCCGACGTTGTTGTACAGTTTGGCATTTAGCTTATTCACTTTCAACCCGGAAGTGAATATCGCGTACTCGGATGACCAGTCCGAATTTCTCGTGTAGGTTTTCACCACGTGGGTGACCATAATGACGGCGACGGCTGTCAGCACCAACCGGGACTTGCTGCGGAACAAAACGTTAGTGATCCGATCAGTCGTAACGAACCTATCAAGGTCTCTTACCACTTATCGATTACGAGCCCCAAACCGTAGGCAACGAGCATACAGAATCCCATTGAAGGCATGTACAAGACGCGTTCCGCTACGACGAATCCTACAGGAAAGAACATGTTCGACGCGGGGAGAAACGGCAGAACAGTCAATCCCAAACTCTGAAATATTCAAGGTTATTATAGTAGATACTTGTGTGTAGCTGTATGGGTTTTTTTAACCGTCAATTTGATTAGTTTTGACGTTTTTTTTTTAAATGTTTACACCACATGATGCATTAACATAATAATATATGGAAACGCACAATGCAAATAAATTGCCGTAGGACATAGAAGGTCATAGCATTTGTTTGTTTTTTTTTTTTGGGGCTATTAGATAAATTATTATGTATCTAATCTTGAAATTTTTTTTATGACACTTCCAACAAAATATTACAATTTTAAAGTGTATAGCATACCTATTTTGTGGTTTGAGGGGATCATTTTAAATTGTTCACTATTTAACGCATATTTGATGATAATAATGAAAAGTGTATAGTTGTAATTTGAACATGTGTTTGAACATGTGTCAATACAAATAAGTTATAAATACATTATGATGCATATTTATTCTGAGAGTTTTCACTATGCATTATTGTATCGAAGGGAGTATTTGAATGAAGTGAAAAGATTGAAACGGTTGTGTAATTTTTACTACAATTATGACTTTAAAGAAGTTGATATGAAACGGGAACACGATGATAAAAATAAATACTATTATAATTATACGCATTACACCACATCACAATACCGTATGGTTATAAGATATATTGTATATCCATTTTTTTTTATTGAACAATTTAATCTTTGAGAAACATTAGCATGTTTTAGAGAGTTACGGTTGGTGTACGCAGAAACACGCGTGAATATGTGGAGCGAGAATTCGTGGTCACCCATCCGGTAGTTATTGGTTACTTTGATCACAAGTTTAACCGTCCAGACAAACTGAATTTACATATTCAAAAAAAAACTAAATGTTATTTTGCCGGGGATTATTGATTATTGACCATGTCCTCAGTGGAAAGTCGTGGAAAAGATGTCTACAATAGATACACTTATCAATAATTACTCAACGGCATTTCATTAATTTGTTTTTTTTTATTTACCATGATAACAACGATGCGTTTGGTTCGATTTGAAGTGGTGAACGCCGTGTACACGAGCGCGATGATCACGGTGTATGTGGCCAAAGTCGCCAGGTTTCTGGGATCCGAGGTGGATTCGACCAGCGGTATGGTACCCATGGTCCAGTCGCAGCACAGGTCGCACGGGAATATCAGTAACCAGGCGTTTACGCTCACCAGATAGTTATAGGTGAGTTGTCTTGCTGGCCAATCCGACACGCTGGCTGGATTGTCAAACCTTTAAAACACAACAATTTCGCTTTGTAAACACACGGTTATGCAGATTTGCCAATCGTAAAGCCATAATGTCGCACAGTGATTATTGATGGCCAGTCATGTATAGGAACAGTAAGACCTCCTTATCACTCGGTACTAACTGAGTTTTCCGTTGTAGAGATACTAAAATTTATAGAATATAGATGGTATATGGACTGTCGTCATTTTCCGTTGTAAGGAGGTTTTACTGTAAACAGTGTAAACTACGCTATTTTTTTTTTATCATGAACCACTTATTATTTGATTAAGTATTATTGATTTTGAAAAGAAAAGTTTTGCATTGTTTCTAATTGGTAGTTTAAATCTGTACGTTGACATTCAAAAAATTAAAACTTAAAAATGTATAAAGATACAAAGTGTTTAAACATATTATTATTAATTTATGATACTAAAATATTATTGACAAAAATATGAATATATATTTTTTTAAATTCAGGTCTCTTGATTGAAAACCGCGATTAGTATACAACTGTGATGTTATCACTGTCTAAACGATCAGTATTTCAAGTATAACCGGTAAGGTTGTTCATCGAACAAACGTTTTGTTGAGATTATAATGAGTCAATATTAATGTCTCTCTCATCAGGAAGGAATGACAAATATTTGAGATATTAAATGTTTAACTTAAATTTCGTTTCAGATGTCGATAAAATATTATGGGATGCATTATTTCGATTCAATAAAAAACTATAAAAAAATAAATATAAATAAATATACCATGTCAATACATTTGGCGCTCTCATTTTTTGGAGATACTAGCCGAATTTCGAAATGTTTTTTTGTACATTTTTCTATGTACGGAAGTAGTACGTCAATGCCAATAAAACGCACACGCCTATATCCTGTCGGTTTTATTTCGATTTTCATTATGACTCACGCATATACTATATATATTATAATACATTATATAGGTATTTTTTTAATATTATATATACATCAATTCGAAAATCGATTTATGTCGCATAAATTCTCGTCGTAGGCAGTTGGTTATACATAAACGACTCCGGGAACACGATATATTTTGCTCGTAACAGGTGCCGAATACTGGAAATCAGTCGTCTCCTCGCAGTTCAAAAACTAAAATCGAGAGCGACTGCCCGCCGTGGATCTCCATCGATAAGTATTATTTTATTAATGATTATAGATGTATTACAGATGCAATTACAGGCATGGCCGAATTTAAACGACATCACAGGGGTGGACAATTGTCGGCAGTAATTCGATTGGATATCGATAGGCAACCCTTCTATTTCTATACCTACGCGTAGTTATTCAGTGAAGCCACTTCTGTTGGAGGCATTTTATTAATGTTTTATTTTTTAAAGCTGCCAATACAACAGATATTTTTCAGCATTGCCAAATTTACCATGTGTATAATATTGTATCATAACTTCAGACAATTATGCTTGTATATATATGTATGTCATTTTATTATAAGTAAAGTGACATGGGTAAAACAAAATTACCACGTATGAGGCCTGCATATATTGCAAATAAAACGATAATAATATTATAAATTGCGTCTACGGATTTGCGATCATATAATATTATCTATTATTTTGAGGGATGTCTGATGATAACGGCACTGCACACGACAACAGTTTAATAATGTTATACAACCATGAAATATATGTGTGCGCACGTGTCATTACATAATATTCTAGATATAATATATCATAACATATATACCGTAGGTGAGATATAATGGTATATACCGGATGATTCTTTATTAACATGGAGTGCTCAGTATATCAAAAAGTATAAATAATATTGAAAAACAAAAGTTTCTAGTCGTTAAAAACCCACGTTTTCGAAATATCTAACAAATTTTGTTAGTAAAAACGTTGACCAGAAACCATTTAAGCACGAAATGTATTTTCAAAAACATTTTTACTTTTCGGAAAATAGTGTACTGCATTAAATGAATCACCCTGTTAGGTGCATCAAATATTGTTTTGTAACTCGTGTAGTGTATAATGTAGCCGAGCTCTAAAGATATTGTTTTTTTTTCGCTCGCGCTCCATCAATGATGATAATACATAAAAATTAGACTGTTAAAAAAAGTAATGGCGAATTTGGAGGCAGTGGCGAGCGGTCAGGGCAAGCGAGGTAATAATGGAAAAGGAAGACCAAAAAAAATTTGAATTTAAGTAAATTGACAACATTTCATGATGCAAGGCTAGGTTATGTTAATAAAACTCCATCATTTTGTTTTATATTATGTTAAGAGGATATCAGCGCACTGTTTGTTTTTTCATTCTGGCTCGCGCTCGACATAGACAAAATAAAGTTACTCAGAATCATTTTGTCTTTGAGTAATTTTAGTGAACAATTCAAAGTCAAATAATAACAAAATATTAAGTTCATACGTCACACCCCCAAAAGGGCCAAAAATATTATCCTTTATAATTTTTGTAATAGTTAACTTTACATTAAGATTAACAAAAATCATAAAAAAAACGATTTTACGCGAAATCGTTTTAGCTATATTGATCGTGAGACTCGAGTTATAATACAAATATTGCACTGACATGCTTTAAAAAATTTTAAAAAATTATGAAATGTTGTTAGGTTAGGTAAGCACTAAGGATTTTGATTACCTGGCTCGGTAAGGCGGGGTTGCATGGTTTTCGCAACTTTACTATAGGAACTTGGAAGCACTGCATCGAGCGATACAAATACTTTTGGAAAGAGATTGTTTGATGCCGATCATATTTGTTTATTATGAAAAATACGAAATTCAATAATGTAAGTTCTGTAGTTTGGTGAAAAGATTGCACTCCCATAATTACGAGTTCGTTATTTATAGGTACATGTATATCATACCATCATTTTAAGTTTTATTTTTAAATTATAATTTACATTGTAACAGCTTTTTTGTTAGCACTTTGTAAGCTTCAAATATCATTGCACACTACTGGTTAGAGGTAGAAATTGTCCCAAGGGCTAGTTTCATATTTTATTACGCTTGTAGGTATTACCAAGTCTCTAAGTCCAGTTATATTTTACAACATATATATAGCAAACAAGCATTCTCGTATTGAAATAATTAGTCAAACACGCAATTATAAAGGATTATAGAACAAAGAAATAAGTTTTTTTTTTAATTTTAATTTGAGAGAATATTCAATTCTAAGAAAAGCGGTATAGGCTTAGCTTTTTTATCAACATAATTCAACGAAAGTCACAAGGAATTGAAAAAAACCCGTGACGTCCATGAACCAGGCTCATTGTAAATGCTTACTTATCTTATCCGTGTAAAAATTGCTTGCTTCATTCAATAATTCACCAGGTTACCAGGTACTTTTTAAGTTTATTTTTGAATTTTCGTTGTCCGTAGTACAGAAAAGTGTTTTTTTTTTTGAAATATTTAAAATTTTATAAAAGTGATTTTTATTAAAAAAAAAAAAAGACTAAAAAATTTACTGAAAGTCTAATGATGTTATATCTTCGGCTTTTCCATAAAAAATTACCACTTTTTACCGAAATCAAACACCCAAAATTACAATTTTTAGGATAGTAAATCACTGCGCAAAGTGTGCGCAATTTTGGGGTGCCTTTTTTTCCGGCGAAACACCAATGTGCCAGTATTTTTTTAACATACAAGAAACGCAACACTATTACGCTCCATAAAATATAGGTCTTTATCCATCCAACCATTTTGCAACACACTATTAGAGTGGCTTATTTAAGTTATAAAAGTTTGGCTGTACTAACACATGGCATTATAAACATTTGTCATATCTATTTTTTTTATTTTAACAATAATTTTCCTTTCCAATTTTATAGGCTTAGGACTGAAAACAAAAATAAATTGTGATTCCGTATACAGTCGGACTTGGTTAACTTGAATGAAGTTAAACGTGTTACCTTTTTACGTGCTAAAAAGGGCTTTATATAATTTGTACATCAAATGCGCCTCAATATTCTGAACAATTGAAGGGTATGAAAATAAAATATTATATAATATACCTACATATGATGTTTATGGATAATGAATAATACGATTTTTAAGTTTAAAAATGATAAAGGTATACATAGGTGGTTAATTTCTATTTTTACCCCCCACGAAAAAAAATACAAATAAACTTATAGTTGAGTAAAAATGAATAGAAAATCAATTAATTAAGCACTAAACATAATATTATTCTAAATCAATACATGGTATATTGTAACGCTCCGTTATTGTTACAAAATGAAATATGTTTATTTCACCGATAGTAAACCTAAACCAACGTTTTTGAGAGTAGTCAAGTTTTTGAAGTACTCAATATTACTTCAGTATAAATATATTTTAAAACATAAATATCTACACAATATTTGAACATTTTAATTCAGAAATGTGTATATTTCAAGCTTAGAGTTAGAAAACAACTTAAGCTTTTGGGTAAACACCTTTTTTCTGTTTTATTTTTAAATAATATTGATGCGCAAATGATTTAGCACTTTTTTAAACGGTTGATGTATAACCGGAAAATCGAACTGACTTAAAAGGACCTCAAATTATTGCTCACTTTTTAACTTTTTAAAAGGTAAAACGGTCTTAAATGACACCTTTATACACAGCGGCTATTCTGAATTATATCCTAAGATCTATTTAAATTGTTTTTTCGTTTTCATTAGGTTTTATCATTTTGATCAGTTCTTATTTGTTCTGATTACAATATAGTTTAACGTTTAACAACAATTTGAAAAAAAACTTTTTTAAGTGTTAAAAATTATGTTGGCGATCCGCTGGTATACAGTGGTATATAATATGTACCTGGTAAAGACGGGCAGCTTGGATCCCATGATTTTCAGACGGAACGCCAGTAGCGCACACGTGGACAGGAACAGGAACGCCAGCCGCTTGACCGCGTCCGACGGGATGGTCTGCAGCACGCCCGACGAGGCGGAAGTCGCGTTTCCGGTGCCGGTTTTTGGCGAACCACCTCCTCCACCGGAACTCCCGCCGTTGGTAGCCGACTGACTGTTCACGGCCACGGACAGTCTTAATGAGTTCATCAAGTCCTTCGGTCTGATCTGAAAAAAATTAAAATTCAACCTTAGTATAATATTTCATAAGTACTGAGTTCTGAAACGCTACACTATTCTCTAGAGACCGTTATTAAGAGTTGATAAATTAGTTTAATTTCGAGCAACACAAACATTATTCGGGTACATTTTAGTTGTTTTAGACAAGGAAACTCAGGTAGTATTATCAATTATATAGATATAAAATAATCGAAGATTTAATTATTGCCCTTATTATTAGTTATCTACATATTTTTCATAATCCTAGTGCTATAATAAATGTTACTATAATTATTAAAAAAGTAAAAAAAATAATGACTGTGATATTCTAATAAGAAAAAATTATGGTTATTTTCTCTAATAAATGCATAATGCAAAATAAAACATTTAATTATTAAGTACACAAAAACCATTAAAAACTAAATTAAAAAAAAAATTTAATATTTTTAAAATGTTAAAAAGAAATTGTTAGGTACTATTCACTAAAATAAATGAAAAAATAGATGAATAAGCTTTACCTAGGTACTTATTTTGACGTGAAAACCTAGCTTTTATATTATGATACCCAGAATAACACAATTCACCTGTGGATTAGCATTTAAATCTATTCGTGTAACATTTTGTATTGCGTAAGCATTCGTTTGTACCTACCCTTGAACACCATTTTACGATTGGTCATTCGTTACTTCTATTTATGAATTAATTCCATTGGAAACTTAATACAATTTTCATAACCGCATATTTTAATAATTATTATTCCGGAACGGGTTATAATTGAAATCAATATATTGAAATGAATACATATTTGTATGTACCTAGTTTGAGTATCGAAAATATGACTACAATTGAGACAAATCGTGACTAGTACTATAAATCGACATTAAATTTGTTTTAAATATTTTCGCGATTGCAAAATTTCCTACACAAAGAACTATTTTATGTTTTTTTACCACAACAGTGGGTAATTCAAACACTTCAGGAAACCTTCTAAAATCAATATGATTATTAAATGATGGAGTTTTTGAAAAAAAAAGGTATTGGTTTATTTATCGGGTAAAACATTTTTTTAGTAAAAACGGTACCAATAAAAAACTTAAATAACGAAAAATTAAGTATTTAAGCTAACAATATTAGTATGATGTTCCCATTAATTAATTAAACTGGAAACATTTTTTTTTCTAATACATTTTTAAGGTAACAATTTAAAGTTATCAGTTAAAGGAATAAATACGTATCTTAATTAATTCAATTTTATACTAAAATAAAAATCATTCACTAAAATAGGTAGTTATTATACGTAATATGAATACGGTTTGAAGACGGATTACCGTTAACTAAAGAACAATGACGTACAATTTGTTGTTGGGCTGTTGAAATTCGCTGCTCGGGGCGATTTCCCACCACGGTAATCCTTTAAATACGTGCGACCTGGTATACGTGTATAAGTTTATTGTACCTATTACACGTTTACTGTACACGAGTATACCGCTCGTGTACAGGGTGGTTCACCAAGCATGATTTACCCCATTTTTTCCACATTCAAATTCAGATTTTTTAGTTATTTATAAATATAGGCAAGTACTTGAAGACTAAATTATTTTAAAATTAATTTATCGTACTGCATAAGTAGTGGTTTTCAAATAAGAAACCTCCCCCGCCCCCAAGTTTAAATGTAAACTATTTATTCGATATTTTTTGTGAAAACGTTGATGCGCACATTATTACCTAATTGAAAATTCCAGCAGTTTCAGATTTCAGTTATAAAAATACCAAAATAATACTAAGGATAACATAGTCCTGAAAAAATGGTTTCACAAAAATACCAAATAGATTTGTTAATGGATCAAGCATTTATCATGCTTGGCTAAATAATTAACTGCAGTAGAAAAATGGTTTTTTTTTTAGGGGAGGAGGAGGGTGGAGTTTTTGTTCGAAAATCAGAAGTCAGTATCCCACAGTTAGTCACTGCTCCTTAATTGATACACAAGAATGTCGAAAAAATGAAAACATCGCCATCTTTGAGGACCTATATACTTAAAAATTAAAAAAGAAAATCAGATTTTGTTGAAAAAGAAAAAAAGGCCTTGAACATGTTCGGTTAGACATATCCTATACAAGTCCTTGCCGAGGGCGGTCAACTAAATCGGCCGGTCGTGCACGGCACACGCACGTCCGTCGTCGTGGACTTATCACCGAAAACGCGCGTCTATTATTCCCACTCGCTACATTAAGCCCACACACGCACGCGCGCACACACCACGGCATTCACCGTGTTTCCTTCGACGGTGCAGTGCACGGGTGTGCGTGTAAGGGGACCCTCTATATAAATTATTACGATCCGACGGTGAGAAACAATCCGCGGGCGAGACGAGATTTGCAAGGGGAGCGACGCAAAGAAAAGAAGATTAAATAAATTTTTATACGCAGACGATATCTTTCTTATTGTTATTACTTTATTTTTTTTTAACCCTCACCCCTCTACGCGTGTTCCTTTATCCCTATCCACTTACCCCCCGACCTACCATGTTCCACTTTCTCGTATCCGCTCCTGTTCGGCGCACAATTTAATATTTCGCAAACTTTAGGCGCACGCGAATCGAAAGTTTCTTCCGTGGGTAAGTATACCGCGGTAAAATTATTACACAGCTGTACCTACCTATAGTAACAAGACGTTTTCGACATTTTTTTACCTAACCCAACCTGTGAGTACTAACGACAAGATGTCGGAACGAACAGTGCGTTCGGTAACCACGACACTTGACAGATGATCGGAGGTGGTGATTTGTGGCCCAATCCCTAAGTGAAGTAAGAATTGCGGTCACATATTAATTACCACATCATATCGGACTGACTGAGCTTTTCCCCAAAAATGTGTCTTTTTTACTGTTCTTATTATTAATCTTTTCTTGACGTCGTAATTAAAATTTTTTTTGAAGTGTAGATTATTGGTTCGGAAAAAAAATTAATGGTTTAACGAAATTAAACTGCTATATTCCTTTTTCTTTGAGTATTGTCATTTGTTGTCTAATAAAAATTGATTTTCTCGTGTTTTCTTTGATTTAAATCCTTAGCTTCTGCATTTTACGTGAGTCTCGGCTGATTGAACTCAAAGTAACACATCAACCAAGTTATAGATGTTGGGATTATGTATTTTGTTTTGAGTGAAAACTTTAACAACCGTTCGTGGTACGGTTGCAGTAAACTGTGCCCAAATACTAGAGGAACTTGTCCACTGAATTATTCCTCGGGCCAAAACTCACCAACAGACAAAAGGTTAGTTATCGGGCCGGAATTCACCGGTCTCCGACGCCGTAAACAATTCGTCGGGCGGCAACTCACCCACGGTAAAGATGATTCGCAAGGGGTGGTGCGAGTGCACGTCGGTCGTGGGTGCCATTAATTAATTCTAGTCCCGATAAGTGGTGTGTGTGTGTGTGTGTTTGCACGCAGAAACAGTGGTAAAAACCAGCCTGAATTATGCGATACACACATGACTTGTGTGTCTAGTTTAAGGGATTTTCGAAATCGATTATATTATTATCAACGCGCGTGACAAATCGTCATCCAAGGGGCTGTCGGGCGAGTTGGGTGCGAAAACACGTCCAAACGATTTTATCGGCAAACGAAATTAAACAAAAAAAAAAAATTGACGGCAAAAACCAGAGCATAGCATTAACGCTTTTTCCAATTCAGTTTTACTATACCCTTTTATTTATTTTTTACCCACGCACATTTATGATATGATATATATATTTGTTTTATTGTATATACGAGTGATTTATTGTTTTTGGCATAAACTTGTACCACGGGCGTCGGTAGTAAAGCATTCAAATATATATTTTGGCCACCGAAATACTATTCCGCGGGAAGCCTTTTTTGTTCCGTATTATTTATTGATATCTTTATAATATTCATCCCGATTTTATCGGTGATTGAATAATAATAATTTAACAAAATTTTAATGGTTCACACACCGTGATTAAAAATTAAAACAGCGGATGTAGATTTTTAAAAGCGTTAAAGGGTTTAACGTCTAAAATGGACGAAAAAAAAAAATCTTATCGGCACGAAAGTATTATGTAAAGAGAAAATCTCTTATATTTTTCACATTTTACGCCAAGAAATATGTATAAGTACGTTACTGAACTGCAAAAGATGTACATATTTCGAACGAATTCTATTAGACTTCTCACGAGCCCCTTAGACCACGACGTTTTTTTTTTTAAAATTTATTATTATTCATTTTTTCTCTTCTGCCATGCGTTTTAGCCAATCGAAAATACGAGTATATAATATATTTCCCGCATTGTAACGAATTCAGTAGAATAAATGTTGCTATCTTTACACTAAACCCCAAGGAAATCTGTTCAGAAATGTATTTCCCATCTTCTCGTAAACCCTATAAATCTTACCGCGTTGCAGTTTTACCTACCGAGTAAACGACGAATTTTCACTCGGTTTACACAATATGCATAAATGTTTTGACCTACATATGTAAAAGTCAGATTTGCGTAAGAGCGCGATTGGTTTATTATTCGAGTGAATTTAAGTGCGACTAGTAAGTCTGCGATGGGATAGATGCCAACGCACATGACACACAAACTTGACATTTGGCAAAGAGCCGTTTTAAAGCGGCAAAGGCCTTTTTGTCATTTTAATGATTATCTGTATCGCGGGATATTTGTCAAACGGAATGCGCGTTTTATTTTGTTCTTTACATTATTATTCGTGTTACGTCGAATATAGTTTCTACACACGGGTGCAACACATTTGCCTATCTCGAGTGCCGTGTTAGTCAATGTTTTTGCGAACAGTATTGTGGTAATTAAACAGTTTACATGACGATATTATTATGATGCAACATATTATACAGGGCGATGGGCGATAGACTTAAATGACTACATTAATGATTTAAAAAATATAATTTTTTAATAAATGTACGCTGATTCAATGAGTTAATTAATTAAAAACTTAAAAACGATAACGATAAAAAATTATTAATATTTTTT